AACATTATTATTAAAAGGAGGAAAATCAATAAGAGAGTTTTTTTGGTCCTCACAGGATTTTTAAAGAATAATTTTTATTTTATATTTTGTATTGTATGGTCATTAGAAATAATTAGATGAGAAAAACTCGATCTATAAAATCATAATTATTAATCTAGATAAACCACTAATTAATGTAAAATATTCCTTCATAATACTATTTTGCTATCATATAACATTTTAGATTGCAACATGTTCGTTTATTTTTTCAAATCTTGTAAGGGCTAAAATATCCCCTTTTGACTCTCCTCCTTTCTAGAGGATTTAAGAAATGTGTCCATCAGTTTAAGTTTCAGAATACAATAGGTACATTAAGCTTTAAGCCTTAAGGAATATATCAATCATAAATGAGAAAAACTCGACTATGATTGATCTTGAGAATTAAGATTTATTACACTTATTATGTTTTGAGAGTAAGCCTAAAGTCAATCAAATCCTAAAATCGTTTAATTTATTGATTCAGTAAGTACTTATTTACGATTCATCACGATTCATCACGATCACGATTCATGTGATACTCATTGACACACAACACTACTCTCCAAATCTCGTGGAGTGAAATCTCACTTGAAGAGATTGAAACTTTAGAAAAAAATGTCTTGAAAAAAGAGACTCCAAAGGAGTGAAATTTCAATTTCTTTTTTGAAGCATAATATCAGGGATGGAATCTCCAAAAGAGGAATTGAGATTTCATTTCTTCGGAGTGAATTTCATTCCTAAAGAGTAAATCTCATTTTATAAAAAGAGTGAAAATCTGCTACTCTTGAATATGAATGGTATTTTCATTCTTTTTTCAAAACAAGCTAAATTTTCAGTCTCTTCGAGTGAGATTTCACTCCACAGTGAAATTTAGAGAATATATATTATTACTCAATATTGCGCGCACATATATGTACAAATTTTCTAATTAATCTTTCGTATCTATAATTCTAAGCCTAATTGTAAGAACTCAACATTGTTCATGTAATCTCTATACTGAAAAAAATGTCTGGTTATGACCACTAAATATTAAGTGGAAGTAATTTCAATTAAATGTTGAGGTAATATAACTAAATATAATTTTATCTTTACAAATGTTTATTATTATTGTAGGTAATACTGTTTGGTAATATTTACTAAATATTTGTAAAGGTAAAGTTATGTTCTAGTTATGTTACCTCAACATTTGGTTGAAATTATTTTACTCAATATTTGATAACTAGACTCCTCTTTCAATGTGATTCAAATTGTTTTATACGTATAAAAATATTTAAATCAAAAATATTGTTACGAATCGACACCTTAGAAGCTGATAATTTAAGAAAAACTAATTTGTTTCCGTTTTTGGCATAAAATCTACCGGTTTGGACTGCATTATCGTTTATATTTTAATTATGAAAAAAGATTTTTAAATCTGTGTAAAGACAGATAGAAAAATACTTATTTGAGAAAATAATCAGTAAAACGACGACTTTAGGATTCCCTTAAGAATCGGAACATGCTACAAACTACCCTTTACGTTATGTTTGCCGCGCACGCTTGATACGCAAATCGAAATGGGATGAAACGCGTGAGCGGCGCGGCTTCCCATAGAATTTAATTTAATCTTTCTCATTCGGTCAGTGTCAGCGGATATCGGTGAGGCTAGCGCGCATCGATTGTTCGTTCAGTTTGATCAACGTCAGTTAATTCAGACGAATGGATCGATCGCGTGCGCGCGAGTCTGCACCCGCCGTGACAAGATCGTGAGGGGAGGTGCACGCGCGCCGTGCATACAGATTTTGCGAGGGTACTTGCATCGCGTTCGCGTGCAAGCTCGCCGGGCAAGCTCTTGCCACATTTGCATAACCGAAGTTTCCAGTTCCGTTCAACTAATCAATGCCGCCTCCCGCATTTTCAATTCTGTTCCCGTCCCCTGGATTTCTTCCTCGCGTTTTTTAAGGTTCTAAAATTTCGAGACCGGAGAGACGATTTCATTATCTTGCTGAAAAGCTACGTGATTCGCCGTTAATAGATGATCAGCCATTCACTAATATGCCGAACCTCGATCCGTCATCGGAGAGAAAAAAAAAACGTTATTAAGCTAAAATCCAAATTATTATCTGTAAAATTGTGCCTTAAAATATATACCTGCATCCTGTCTAGCGTATAATTTTACACGTAATATTTTGCGTATAAAATGTCTGTCGCACGCGACGATATGACATGCCCATAAATCTCGTCTTCTTTATCGCCGAAAGCGGTTTTAAGAATATATCGAGGCGTTCCGCGCAGTAAGTGTTATGCCGGGCTATTAAAAGTAACAGCGCTTTTGTAATAAAGATAATGGAGAACAAGAGCAGGTGAAGTCAGGGGAAGTACCAGCGCACCTAGGGTGGCGTTTCCCCTTCATCTGTTCTTTTTTTGCAAGATTAGAGCACGCAACGCCAAGAGGAGGTTGAAAGACCAGGGACGCGACTATCAGAGGTAGAGCATGCTTCGTACCGTTTGAAGATGCGCGTTTGATTATTGCGCGGTTTGTTTGCTTATATAAAACCATACAGATTACTCTACTATTCTTTCTGTAATACAAAATGTGGATCGTATACGAGTCATCCCTTATACACCGGCGCGCACAATATCGGATGAGGTTGATTGCATGCGTGCCTCGTGCTGGCATCGGCCGGTTTTACCACAGCGCGGATATCGTCGGCAAGCGCGTTCGAACGTCGTAATTGGAAAACTTCGGGATTATTTTCCGCCGGCCTTCTCTTCCTCCGGATGATTTAGCCGGATTAATAAGCGCGGTGTTATCGTTGTCCCGGATTTCTTTAACACTTTTATATCTCTGGAAGGCATGTTCATTTCGCACTTGGATCAGAACGTTTTATCGCTTGAGCACATGGGCCAATGACCTGTGGCCTAAAATTTATTTATTGGGGGGCTCAGATACTGTAAATGTATCTGATATTCTGTGAAAACTATATAATATGTTAATTACAATTTTACATTATCACTGAGAAACAAAAATGCTATTGATTCAATTAAAGTTTATATTACGGGCTGTCACTAACACAAGTAATTAATGCATGTATATTTTTATTGACATAAAAGTCTTGATTATTGAAATAATAATTTATGCCTTTATGTCAATAAAATATACATGAATTAATGACTTATGTTAGTGATAGCTCGTAATATAGACTTTAATTGAATCAACAGCATTTTTTTCTCAAGATATGGCTTGCTTTGTGCTCTCTCATGTTCACGAAGACAGTTACTTGCTATATTTATATGGTAGATAAAGAACAAACTTTTATATTTCTTGCCAGCGAGTATCTTACTTTGATAATAAGTAACCCTCTTTCCACGTAGCGTTCCGCGTACTTTTACTTACTTTCTTGTATGTGTGTTTTTTTATGTATTAATAAGGAGAATATATTAACAAGCAAAACTCCGATATCTTATATTAATCTTATACGAGGAAGTTAATGAACTTCCGAGAGTTTTATTTATCTGGAAGACGACTGGAAGAAGTTTAAATAGTTTATCGGTCGCTATTATTAGTGCAAGATTATGTTGCTCGCATGAACTTCATGAGCAGGATAATGTTAGGTTCGTAAATGATAATGTACAACCGACGCGTACGAGACCCTTTGAATTACTTCCAAGCGACTTACGAAGTAGTTTTTTTATTATTTTTTTAATGCGTATGTCGATTCGACCGTGTCCTTTTCTTATCGAGCGTGTTATGACACAGTTGAATTTGCATATAAGTTGGTTTTCAGGGTTTTCCTCGTAGACGAAATTGTGTCCTTTGTACGTGTTAGAACGATGGCTTACGGAAAATGGCTCGTTCGTACCATCGGCGAACCTTGATAATATCTTCTATAGCGTATTAATAGAATCGTCTCATGAGCAAAATTTTAATTGAGGTCTTAGTTACTCGCGACACATGTTTCGTATCTTCTTGTTAAACTTTATAGAAATTTTTAGTGAATCATAGAAAAAAATAGTAGAAAATTTAATAATGGATCACTGTTTATTTAAAATCGTTTGTTTCAAGTTCATCTCCTCATTTCATTAAAATCAATCTGCAATAAATTGTGATACGTTTACCATGGAAAATAATTGGAAGATTTCTCTGGTAAAATAAACACGCTATGCGTATTTATGTTACTAAGCGAGATTGCATAATGTAAGTGGATTAATTGTCAAATTAACTTGAGAAATTTCGAAGTTATGTTATACTTAAACTCCATGTGGCAACTTTAAGCTGGAACTTGTGGTAACGTAGACCGGTTATCCTTTAGGCAAAATTCATGTTATACATGATAAGTAGAATGAAGCGGAAACCGTTATACATATATTGCAGCATAAACTTGATAATCAGAGGCGTCAACTTAGAATGCCAATTATGCCAAGTGTGGAGTAACGAGTTGGCGAAGGGAGACAAAGGTGGACGGGCAAATAAAAAAAATAGAGTTTCGTGATTGCACGAAAACTGTTGCACATATATTTTTATTTTTTACATATATATTTGTTGTATATATTTTTCATATAT